TTCAATTATAGTTATCATAAGTCGGAAGACGTTTAGTAATATTATTATAAACTATTATAAACTATTATAAACTATCACGTCTGCAGACGTGATAACGCGGATAGTACTGTTTTTCGACGCTGGATTTCGGATATGATCGGTCGGTGATTTGCTTTTTTGTTAGGCTTAGTAATAGAAAACCAGTGAACGTGTTACTGATGTCGAGCGATGTGAGCGCCTAAGGCCTTTATGATAAATGCACGCAACGATCGCAGGCTTCACGTCAGGATACCTTTGTATCGTTGGAAGCAACAACTGCGAAAGTGTATTCACGTTTGTTCTGAATTAATTCCTTGCTCTACCACACATACGCGACAATAGTGGTGATTGTTTCGTACTTACCGATAACAGCGGCAGCCTTATGATCATAATGCTCGAGTATCCCACCCTAAAGTCCAGGAAGGGTTTCACCGAAGAATTATCACATCTAATGAAGGCTCGATTACTTAAGCCGTCCTTTTATCTTCTAAATCACGAACCCAGTATAATGCAAATGACTATGGCAAGTTATGATAAATAAATTGTCATAACCATTTTTATATTATAAATTATTTACTTTCCAATTTGGAGAATACAGGTTAAATACGTAGCGCATTCTTTCGGACCTTGCCACGATAATCTTTGCTCAGCCAATTTTTCCATTTCCTGTTTTCTTTTCAGCTGGTGGGGGATTCTGATCCTTTTTCACATTGGCTAATGTCAAAAGCGAAAATTGATCTTGTGGAGGAAGTAATATTGGATTTGGAGTACGATAACTACCTCGGTCGCCTAACTGACATTGAGAAGGAGGTATGATATAACAAGCCTCGAGGCCTATATACAGCTACTTGGTGCATGTGCACACAGTTTGGCTGAGTGTTTCTTCCCCACAGACCGCGAATGGCCGATCAAAGGAAACGCCGGGCGCGTTCTCAAATGCACACCTGAAATGGCCGCGCTGTTTTGGAGCCGTTTTGAGGAAAAACTAGACGAGAAATTGGCGGTTTGTGGCATTACAGATGAAAATACTGGTAACTTGGCCGCCTCATGTCCGAGTTAGGTTAATATTTAAGAACCTCCCTTTCTTAACTCCGACCTGGATGCTCAGAAAAAGCGAAATCGTCAAGCTTGGCAACAATTATGCCGACAGGTTGCGGAGTTTACGCGGGTAAATCTCCTTTTTTGAATGTTTTTCTCGAATCGGCAGTAGTCATAATGCCAGTTTCTTCAGATTTAATTGATGAATATACTTTTTGGACATGCAAATTGTAGTAGATAGTCGCACTTTTCGAAAGTTACACCTATATAATTTAGAGGAAAGACAGTTGCTAGTTGTCGTCAGTGCTTTTTTTAGTGCAACACATAAGAGAAAGTTTTTTTGCAACACAGATCGCCGAACAGAGACGTCAACTATCTATCGCTTTGATTTTGCTGAATAAATAGCGGCGTCGTATCCGTCTGAATTTGTGAATCTTGTTTTCCCGATATGGAAAACGAGTCAACCTAGTCTATTCAACGGTTTCAATGGATCAACTTGCCAAAATCTGTATAGGAAATCAAACTGCAACTATGCCACTAACTTATTTCACGTTCTATATCGATGACGTACTTCTGCTACCACTTCCTTCTAGTCACAAAGCATTGATCTGCCTACTGCTAGCCGAATTTTCCGAATTCGTTCGATATTCACTGCTGCATATTACAGCGCATGCAACCATATGGCGAGGTATTTTCAGTTCAGTCCAGTTCAGTTTTATCAAGGGCAAATAGGCGAACACATTTGAGGTCCTTATTTCTTTTACCTCAACCGAATGCTTGGTTTGATTGAGTTTCTAACTAGTAACGTGACCATCATTGATAGTATCCGACTGAGACATAGGCGGTCACGGTTGCCCCATGCAAGAAAAGGATTACTTTGACCTTATCCAATGCTGATTAATGAAAGAGAGAAATGGTTCACAATTTACTTGGGTGGAAAAGTAGACAACTGTTTATAAGCCTTCACCAGGACAATATTTGACCAGTATGTCAGGGTGTCTGACTGTTTTATAATCCGTTGGGACTGCATTTTCAACTAATTAAGTTATTGTAGTTTCTTGTCACACTTATTTTGCTCTATATTGACTTTTCTATCTGTTCAGGCTTTACAGGACGCCTGTGCGGTGCAAAAGAATGTAGCTGGACGTCGGGACGCTTATCAAAAGTCTCTCCTGTTGGCCTTGGGCAAAACGCTTGGGAAGGAGGCCCAACATCTGGCCTCCCAAGCAGATTGTGTGGAAGCACAAATCCATCATTTACTTATGCAGCCTTCTAAGAAGGCTGCGGACTTACGGAGCGCCTAGTGAGTTTAAATCCCCTACGCGCGTTTTGTAACCCCATAAC